AATTTGGGGCGGTCTCCTACTGCACACTAACGACCCCTTGGCTACAACACACCCCGCTTGTCAGACGGAGCAGGGATTTAAATTGAAAAACTCCTGTTTGGTCTGGATCCTAGATAATCCTCCTATGCTGGGGGTCGGCGGCGTTCACACAGAACTCGGGTTGCTGATACTGTCATATCAAGTCTTAGCGCTACCGGCACTAAAAACGGGTTCATATTCCGTGGTGGAAACGGGTAGCGAGGCCAAAGCCTCTTCTTATCTTAACAGGAAGCTGAGTGCGTCATGCAGGCCCTTACAATCCCTGCTCCTTGGAAAGTGAGACGAGACACACACTGCAACAGTACCGGTACCTGTACGCTGCAGTCCGAGTCGTGCCGATTGTTTCTGGCCCCGCTCGCGGAGCACCTGTGAGTGTGGTATGGCACCATGAACTGCAGCAGCGGATGAGAGATGCATATGCATGGCGAGGTTCCGGCATTTAGGGCCTGAGTTGGGGTTAGATGGTTCTAATTTCTCGCATAAGCAGCGAGGGAAATCCCTAGGGACTCCCTTTCTTAGCAGAGAAGGCAACCAATTGGATCGTCGCCGAGGTATTGACTGATGGATTGAAAATCACCGGTCTGTCTGCCTTCGGAAGTAACACTACAGACACTGCCGAGCGGGGAAACGAAACGATGTAATTAGTGATACAATATGTACTGTACCTACCTACTGTAGGTATGGCAATGCCGTAGGAAGCACTCACTTCCATTACGTACTGTTAGGTGGTGTACCTATTGGAAAATGACACTTTTGCCAAACGACGGCGGGAGGTTCCCCTGAGACTAACATCCATGGGCATGGGCTGGGTATAAGACAGCAGCTGGCACTAAACTACCGTGCGTACTCGGGGCTACCTAGATATTACAGTATGTAAGTCTCTTCTCATTTGAGCGGCGATTTTGGGGTATGACCGACGCGGCGTTATGTAGCAATTGATGTCTGCCTATATCAATTGTTGCACCGACAACTGAGAATAATATTCTGGTAGAATGTATTCATTGACTCATCGTCCTCGGGAGCGAAAGAACCATCCTATGACCATAAGACTCTCAAAAATTGTCGAATGTCGCATGGAATGTACAGTAGATAGACAGGTAGCTAGCAAAGGTTGCTTTTCTGATGCTGCACGCTGCAGGAAGCTTCTGGAACAAGCCTGTATTTAATCCCTGGTTAGGACCTGGTACAGTACTGTAGAAGGCTGGCTTGGTCTCAAACATCCCCTGCTAGTTCGCCCTATAATCCATTAAACCCCGGCTAACCAGTGCACTGGCGATTCCTTTTGACTCCGCTATGGCGTTCCAAAACCCCCGCCTATCACGCCAACCTGGGACAGACCAGATGGGCTGCGGTGGGCGCTAGTCCTGTTCGGGGCTTAATGAGTCAGGTGATTTCGCGGCAGTATCCCGTTCTCTCAGACGCGTGGGCCAACGTCCATCGTCACTTCAGCGTGTTTGCCTGAAGAGACGGGCTGCTTTTTATTACTGCTACAGGCATTCACGCAGCAGCGTCGCCTCCCCGACATGGGTCACCCACTATATAACGAGCGCAGCCCCCGAAAATTTCTCCTCTTCTACTCATTCAAAAAGAAGGGGCTTCAACAGGTAGGCAAAGCATCTCGTTTCATCATCGGTGTCGTTTGGTCTTTTCATTTCCATCACTTTTCCCGCATCTCGTCGCATGACAATCTGCCACATCGATCGAATGCAATAATCAGACTCGGTTCCCCGACAATACGAGTCAATAGCAACTTGCGACCACGGCATTTCTCTCCATCTTCGAACTCCGGTTACCCATCGGTCGGAGATTGAACCGTCGCACACATCCACCCAACTCTACACACACCCGCCATTTCAACATGCTCAGCAAACGCTTCGATCCGCCGCCAAGCAAGAGCTTCTCCAAGGGCCACAAGTCGAGCAAGTCGAGCACATCCTTCAGCAAAAGCTATGGCGTGACCAAGACTCGACATGATTCCCGTCGTCGCTTGACGACGTCCATGTCTCAACAGATGGACGCAGCTATGTCGCCGGATAGGTACAGATCACTCATATTCTTATCTCATCGCCTCATCATTTCATTTTCTGACCTGTCAAATGCACACAGCAACTTGACGTCGTCCATCGTGACCCTCATCATCGGTCGGGACCAGCGAATCTTCGCCGCGCACGAAGACGTGCTCTGTGCATCGCCTTGGTTTCAACAGGCGCTGTCGGAACAATACATGGATCCGCAGCACGGCAAACGCGTACACTTGCCCGATGATGAACCGGAGATCTTCTCGTCCATCCTCGAGTATCTCTACAAGGGTGACTATTACCCGCGGTTGATCCACAACAAGCGTCGCAACTCGTGGGAGATCGAGCAGCTCGACGAGGAGCGTGGATCTAGCGAGTCCACCATCTACCACCATGCTATTGATGGCGATATCCTCAAGGATACCGTCATCTACTGCACGGCTGATAAGTATGGGATGGAGGAGCTCAAGCGTGTCGCTCTGCGGAAGCAGGGTCTTCGTAAGTTTGTGTCTGCACATTCCCATCGCTCTCTTGGATGCAGACTAACGATGGCGACGACAGAGTCCGGTATCCAATGCAGCACTATCCTGGCGTCGGCCCGCTACGCTTATGCCAACACACCCGACACCGACTCCAAGCTGCGAGCACACTATCTTGCTCTCATAATCCGCAGCCGCAGCACTTTTAAACGTAGCGGCACCATGCAACTAGAGATGTACAACGGCGGGTCACAGCTGTTCTTCGATCTCTTCGTCGCTCTCTGTAATCACGTGGATGATATCTCGTCCAGTGCTTCGTACGTGTCTCGCACGGCTTGTCTGTTCTTCCTCCAACTAATCTCCATTTTAGTAACACGCCGCGGAGCAACCGCCACTTCTTCTAGGCACCTATCTTAATATTCCCTTTGTTGTTATGCCTCCCCTTTGTCAACCATCACCTTCGGTTCCTATCATCTTATTATTTGCGAACCCCATCGTCGCCTTCTACGTCGTCGGCGACGAGTCTAATGATCAACGTTATGCCTTTTACCCTGCCCTTCCTCCCTGATTTGTGCTTCGGGGACTCTCGACGGGCTTGCTTGTCTTCATGTTTTCTGGGCTTCAGCACACTCACACAAATATCACAAATGGCGTTCCGGCGTTTATCTCCCTCCAAGGGGGTTTGTTCTTCGGCTCTTTTTTCAGTTTATGACCCTTGTATTATCACCCTTATATCGACGCCGTTTCAAGCAGACAGAGACGGGGCAATAATATCGCCGTCAAGTCTGCATGTTTTTGTTGTTTTTCTATTTAGGCGATGGTGTTTTCCGCCTGAGAAATACCCGCGAGAAACACCAAAAAGAGCAGGGTCGGCCCGAGGGGCTGCGAGGAGACGAGGGTTACCTAGATTGCAAAATCGGAGGATCTCTTCGCGTTTTTGAAGTTATCATTAAGCGTCCCTATCTGTTTTTTCCTGTCCTTGGATGATAGGACCCATGTACTATTACACTTCTAGACTATCGTTCACATAAGGGTTCACATCCTTCCTCCCCAACAGAAGGGAGGCGGGAAAAGAGAAGGGAACGGGGGCTGCGCTTCTCTTTCGCTACAAGAGAGGAGGAGATAGCGGGCTCGAAAAGACGAAATTGATGCATGATGATGATTGATAGATTGTCGTTCTTGTATATACTTTTTGAATTACCCCTTGATGATTTGGTGGACTTTTGTGTTTGAATTATGCGTGACGCTGCTTTCTTCTCGGGCTTGCGGCTACCATTTAGAGTGCGCTGATGCATAGCGCTATGTTGATCGGACGCCTGTGAGACGCTGGCCCGTAGATAGATGAGGAGATTCAGCGATAGTGGGACAAGTCAGGCCCGGAGTTTGGACCTCTATCGCCGAATCTCCTCATCAGGTGCCTGTGGGACTGGGATTCGTTCCCGCTTCTCAAGTCGTTGTTGCGTTAGGGATCGTAAGGAAGCCGGAGCATCTCTTACCGTCTACGTAAGCCCGGCCCGTGTTAACGTAATTTTTTTTCCAATTAAGCAAACCAGGTCCTCAGTGTTTTCCGTCCCAGATGGCGTCTCTATTTTCCTAACATAAGCAGTTCGATAAATAGGGCAGGTAACGCTTCCATTAGGCGTAGTGCAACCTGGAGCTCGGTCTGGGTCACTCTATCCCTGAATGGTTTAAACGTGTTCCAATATCCCGGGTCTTCATTTATGGTTTTTGCCTTCTTTCCCCTCTTAACGTCTGACTTCACGTATGCCTCGGCACAATATTCTTGGCGCGTGAGCAGCGAGGTCTAATGGGCTTGGACATCGTCGGCAAATGCGAACTCGGCACCGTCAGCTAGGCGTTGCTAGTCGATCTTTAGAGATATAAATTAGTAGGTATTACCAGATAGAGGCATAGAGATAGATAGAAAGAACATACCTCAGGTGCAACAAGGAAGACTGACTAGACCTCCGCCAGTGCAAGGAGATCTTCGGCTGTAATATTAGTTTTGTCCATTTTTTCAGGCTTAGCACGTAGTTAGAGTTAGTCTTGGGAGCATATAGGCGGCCCATTCGTTGATCCATTTTTATCGCTTTTCAGTCCGCTCCGATTGTTGCATAATAGTGTCTAGGCGAGACAGCGGAGTCGTTATACAAGAAAGTAGAATCATCTTGAGCGTCGATGTGGATAAGTGGCTCAGAGTTGTCGTGGTTGGGGCCAAGCTATCCTGTGAACTTAGCTGATCATTCATGAAGAACGCGCTGATGGCCTTCGCTATCAAGGCCCACAGACTTGTTGTCAACTATCGATCGGAAGGTGACACTTCCGAACGGCGGGACATCTCCATCGAGCACCTCGAACTGGCGAACAAGGACGCCTTTAAGGGACTGCAACCGGATTCCTTGGTCCATCAATGCTGAATCTGGTTTTGGTTTGGAGTAGTACCGAATAAGCATCAACTAAACAAGGCTCAATGGTCTAGTGGTATGATTCTCGCTTTGGGTTCTTGTCAACCATGCGAGAGGCCCCGGGTTCGAATCCCGGTTGAGCCCATCTTTTATGTTTAGATTCTATATCTATTTCTTTTTCTTATTCTTTGTCGGGATTTTTGGACTTTTGCTGTACACCGTAGAATATTAAGAAGTGAGGACAAGTAGGGTGGTGATAGCAGCGTTGGTGGTTGGCTACCCCACTTACCCGAATTGGACATAAAAGAAGCTGGCACTTATTCTGTTACTGAAGATACACATTGAACTCATTTGTAGCGTCTTGCAGCAGCATGCCAACCGGACCAACAAAACCTCGAGCAGCAGGGTTTCTGGTGTTCCGGATGACTTTCCGTTGCAGCGTCCTGTTTTCTTTTTCGTCATTAGCACCGCCAGTTGGGCATCTAGATTTTGGAAGCGCGCAGGTGGTTATCTGCCTCGCCACCACCCTGCTTTCTACCGACGAGCTTAGCGATACTGTTGCATTTCATACATCGCCCCGGTATGCGGTCGAGACAAATTCCCTTTCGTGATTCGCCAATTCCAATCTTAGATAAGAGTCACTATAAGTAGCGAAGTACTGACACCCGCTGCCGGGACTTAAGTGCTTGCATTAGGCTCCGGTACGGCATAATAGTCGTAGCCTCACTAATAATAAGTGCGTCGCTGGGCGAGGCGGGGGTACAGTACATCTACTTAGGACCGACCCGTGGGCGGTGACTCTAGGATGAGTGAGTCATTGTAGCAAATACTACGCTGCCACCCTATTGGTGCTAACCAAGGAGCGTAGGGCTTTTGCGTCTGGTGGTCTCTTCCTAGTCGAGGCGCACAGGCGTAAGTGACAAAGACGGAACGGAACGATTAGATCTGTTTCATGATAATCCTGCCTGCTTCATTCGTAGATGCATATCTTGCTATAGCGGCGATATGCCCATATGTACGCCTGCCTACCTTTACTACCTTGTTTGCCTTCTTGTCGCCACCCATATTTCATATGACGACTCCGACTCGGGTCTCCTGCAAGGTTGCCCAATGATAATATCTGTATTTTCGACATGCCCACCAATGATAATGATGAACTTGCATCCTCGCCTCTCTCGCCTTCGCCACGCACTTTGCAGTGCTATCATGTGCATGTGTACATCCTTTACTTAGGAGTCTCCCAGCTCGTATTGACTCATACCCCCGTTCCAGGGAAGGCACCAGATTTGCTCAAGACGACAAAGCCACGTTCGTGTGCAATGTATCCTTTCATAAGATTCTAGATTGTGGTGTTAGCAGGTGTGCCTTGCAGCGTATCGGTGAAAAGCTTATAGTCGGAGACGATGTGTGGAGGCTGTATAGGCTTGGGATGAGGCAAATCGATGACGTTAAATCGATTGATTTATCGGAAGAGAAGAATAGGATGCGGGTGGACTGCCTGAAGTAGAATCGGAACCGGTGATCAGGTTCATGCATGATCTGTTCTCACGACGTACCTTGTATATCATGTTGGCCATGAGACATTCAACCTCATCTGTGTCGATAGCCTCTCCACTGCTCATCTGGACGGCTGCTGTGAACTCGGTGATGGGAATTCTCGTTCTCCGTACGGGTGCCGCTCCTTCTTTCGCTTCCTCGAATCCTCCTGCTATAAATACCTTGCGCAACAAATTACGCAATACGATGTCACGCCCGCGTTCTAATGTCAAATAGACGCGACGCTTTATGAACTCGTCTTCACCGTCGCGCAGAGCAATATCGAATGCTCGTAGATCAGCTTTCTTGATAGCACGAGCTAACGGGGAAAATAGCTTTTGTAGGCGGGGAAATGGTTCAAGAAGTTGTGCGCTGGGCAGTGTATGGGTGGTTAATAAGCGACACGGGACAAGGTAAGTTAGGATAAGTCTGTAGAATATTAGGACCAACGCTGTTAAACAGAGGTGTGTAGATGCATACTCGAGATTTCGTTGCGAAGTCTTATGGCACATCAGCCATGCCATTTCGAGATGTTTCTCGGCCTGCAATTTTGTTAGTCATTGTCAACACTGAAGCGGGTATTCTTTGGGCCACAGACCTCAACATAGTTTTCTTCGAGAAATGCCAAGACACCTTCATAGTACTTAAAGGTGACCTGTTGTGACTTGGGGAACTTATCGATGGGGGGAATATCAGCTCGACCAGCCGATATCACTCTCAAGATATTCTTCGAGAGCGGTTCTGAATGTAGCTTGAAGTAAGTCTTGAATAGAAGATTAACAGCGTAATAGACACCCCATTTACGAGATTCTTCCAAGGGAGCCCTAATTGATATCAGCGGGAGGCTGAGATGGTACGAAATAACGAAGAGGGGTTACCTGTCAGAGGCGCAGGTCTGGAAGATTCGGTTTAGATGCCGTGCGCAATCTTCAAGACTCTTATGTTCCTCCGCTTGAGGATCAAAATCGTCTTGCAGGTCGTCAATAGCCATATCCTCATTACTAAGAGCCCTCTCGGCATCAGCCCGCATAGCATATAGTCTCAGATATCTCCCAGTGACATAAAGACACGGGATGGTCCAGTTTTCGAAATCATGGTTTGTATAGCCTCGGATGGTGAGTAATGTGACTTCTTTCCATGCGTCGTAGACTCTGGCCCATGATGACTTGACTTAGTCAGCGGAAGTCCGAGGCTCAGCATACGATGACAATGGAAATGAAGTCTCAGAAACAACGAGCACTGGTAAGAAAATTCATATTGTTTCTAAAATAGGCTTACCTTGGCATCACCTCGCAAGCCTTCAACGGCTAGTATCTCTCCTATAGCTTTCCAATATGCAGTGTAAATAGCATACCAACCATTCGTTTCTTCCTTAGAGAGCCTAGCGCTGAATCGAGCCTGATCTTGATGAAAAAGGAAGTTGAGATCGGATGCTATTGATCGGGGATCGCCACGACCCCAAATTGCCTGTAGCTTTGCTGATTGTTCTGGAATGTCCGGGTTGAGGGTCTCGGCCAGCTGTTCACCGTTTGTAGCAGCATATGCCGCCCGGAATTGGCGAATCAGGCCATCCATGACCGGATCCGTGTAGAACTGTTGGCAGCAATAAACTCGGCAGTTTCCGGCTTGCGAGTGAAAATATGTATAGAATGTGAGATTTACAGAAAATCGTATTAATCCCTTGTTGACATCTTTGCCGAGATTTCAGGAAGTCGTACGCAACGGCAACCTTGAATGACTGCTAATGGCGAAGCCTGAAGGGGCGCTGTCTTTGAACCTTCGTCTCCTGCCCTGATTGGCTCAGTCCAGTGAATCTACTGTACAGGCTGCTGTGCACAGGCCAACCTGCACTGTCCCCAGTGCCCCGCGATACCTAGTACCCTTGTACATCTGTACCCCACTATTGCCCATCCAGGCTCAGCCACATACTCCAGCCACGGTCGGCACACAACCACAATGGCTGACCCAGTTTTCGAGCATGGCCACATACCTCTAAGCTGCTAGGGCGGGAAACCCTTAGCACATAATTTCGCAAAAAGTTCTCGTAGCCGAAGACGAAAGCAGCCTCCACTACACGACCCCGTGAGCTTTTGCCCTTCATACTAACCTCCACGACAACAGGACCGGATTCAAGTCACAGTAAGTTCCAGTCTTTGCAGTGTGTATTTATTCGGTTACTGATATATCTTAATTTCAGATGGGTAAGCGATTTTCCTTTCATTCAATCATGCAATTGCCGGCGCCTGGAATTCGACATGGACGACCACCCCGACAACACTCTGCTACGAAGAACCCTGCACGATTCTGGCATTCCGATATAGCGACACGACTTTGGGCCCTGTGCCCCAAGGATTGGATTAACGCCCGATCAAAGTGAGGGGAGGATTGGGGAACGGGAATGCGAATGCTTTAGAAGTGTGGCTTGGCATGGAAGGAACTTTTGACGTTCTCTTAATCGACAGCACGACTACGATTCTTTTACCTGGACGCCGAACTTGACCGCTAGATTACCTCCTTCGATAGCTGCCTTGACGCGTACTGCTTCTTGTCAATCATATCCACCGCTTGGGAACTTCGTGCTCGTTGTACCACTACACAATCACTAACTAGATGCTATCAGGTCGCCTTCAGGAATACCAGGTCATCGGGCGCCACCTGCCCACCGAGGCAAACCCCACCCCGAAGCTGTACCGCATGCGCATCTTCGCCCCCAATGAGGTTGTCGCCAAGTCCCGCTTCTGGTACTTCTTGATGAAGCTGAAGAAGGTCAAGAAGGCCAACGGTGAGATTGTCAGCTTGAACAAGGTATGTCTAAGCTCCCGATGGCATCCGAGGTTAAATACGAAAGGCTGGGGGCTGATGTGTTTCAATAGATCCACGAGAAGAACCCTCTACGAGTCAAGAACTTCGGTATCTGGATCCGATACGACTCCCGCTCCGGCACGCACAACATGTACAAGGAGTACCGTGAACTGTCGAGAACGGATGCCGTCGAGGCTCTCTACCAGGACATGGCTGCCCGCCACCGTGCCCGCTTTCGGTCCATCCACGTACGAAGTTCCAAGATGAGAATCGAAGAAACGGCATCAGCTAACATAAACGTAGATCCTCCGCGTTGTCGAGGTCGAGAAGACCGAGGACATCAGGCGCCCTTACATCAAGCAGCTCGTCACCAAGGGCCTCTCTTTCCCTCTTCCTCACCGTGTTCCTCGTACCAACAACAAGAAGGTCTTCAGCGCCACCCGCCCGTCCACATTCGCATAAATTGGGGGTTTCTCGTGTCATGTGTGTGGTGGAAGGTTTATGGGAAATGGTCTTTGCCCGGAGTTCACTACGGAATTGCGGAAAATATTTCATGACGATCAATTCAGCATGAGAGCTCTTAAAGAGGATAGAGCCCAAATCAATGAATGAAACCCGAAAAAAACCTACACTACAGATTGTCCTGAGGCACATATGTGAATGATGGAAATGCACAGGACGAGTCCTTCTGCTTGCCGTCGATATTATGCTGGAATGGGAGTCGCCTGCTATCGTCTAATGTACATTGTGATGCCGTCCTATTCCAGGAGCCTACAGCGGGCCCGGATGGCTTGGCCATATGCGTC